AAGTTGATACTGGATTGCAACTCTGTTGCTTCCGGGTGGATTGGTCGATGGTTGTCCCCAGGCGGAACCTGCGCAACAAAGCCCGCGGTGTGGAACCGCCGACACCCGAGATTTATGATAATGCGGGATGTAGAACGACACTCGGTAAGTGCCGCATTGAAGCGGGCTTTCTTGTTCCTCCATTATTATTGCGGGCTGGATTATTCCATCCTTATGCTTGATTATTCCATCCATAGGCTTGACCATATGCGATACGACATGAGGAAGAGTTGATAGCCCGCACAGGATCATGTATAAGTATTGCGCTGCACTATCAGTGTCCACGAACCGGACTGAGAAAAAGAGACGCTGGGAACGACCCTGATGTCCTGTGTCCCGTCGGAGGTCCAGGTGAGGATAAAGTAGCCCCGAATGAGTTGAATCTTGAGCATGAAGGGCAGACCAGCCTGCAACGGACAAACAGCATAAGAGGGCAGAGGATCTTGCAATATTGCGTTGCGCGCCAGTCGATGACAAAATGAAGGTCCTCCAAACACGAGTGCCACCCTGCCCGTGGAATGGCAAAGCCAGTGGGGAACAAAAATAACCAATTTACCAAAGACGCCGGTTGACCTGAAAAGCCAGGGTGCAGACGAGGAAATAAATGGTGAATTCAGTCTGGAAAAAGCCTATTCCCCCCCGTGGTTGGCATCTACGCAGGTCTATCTGAGTCAAAGATTACATAACTCCTTCAAGGCAGTCCAGTATTAAACCTGTTCACCTCGATGGTAAGGTGGGATCCGAGCCCGCTTGAGACCAGCGACCATGCGCTCGCTTCCTCCTTCTACAGGTTCGAGCCAAATGAGCGGGGTGTTGGCCCAGTTCGTGTGAAAGTCGCAGACACTCGAGAAATTGGCAGGGAAGTAGGCCAGATGCGCGTCGGAGAAATCCTGTAGTGAGCTGTCGGACGGGTACTTCATGAAATAGAATCTCCTTGTCCCGCCCGGCTCGTTGGGGCCCGCAAGCGTGAAAACGACGGTATCGTGAGTGTCGAGATCGATAACACAGGCAATCGGAATGATGCATCCTTCGATCCCAAAGTACCCCCGAAGTAGGAGGCCCCCACGCGGAGCATTCGTCATTGAGCGGAGATAAAACCTCCCGTGCCAGGCGGTCCAGCGAACGGAATGGTAAAATTTGGTTCTCAGATGGACGGGAGCAGCTTCCTTGTTCCAAAGATCTTCGTCGATTACATATTGGTCGGGCAGAGGGAGTAGCCAAGCATCCGGGGAATTCTAGACATTGCGAATTAGTCATGAGGCAGACTAGACCGTGGACCATGGTTAACGTACCGATTCGGATTTAGCTGACTGCTGACTCGGAGCAGAAAGATCGGAATTAGGGGTCGGAGTGGGTTGCGGTCCAAGTCCAAGGCGGAAAAGAATATCGGCCTGTACACCATTAAGATAGGGAGGGTGCACATAGAGAAAACGGACCTCAGACATTTGTGAAGGCAAGCGGCAAGTGGTGCGTTGCCAAATAGATATCAGCAGACAGCAATAAGCTTAGACACTCGCCGCTTTGATCCGCTGTTCCTAATCTCCCCGGCTCTCCAAAACGCAAAAAATTACCCCAAGAACGCTTTTGAGCCCCCTCGTTTTCTCGCCCACTGGATGCATTCCTGCACCCGCAAGACCACAAATCCAGAAGGAAACAGAAAACTGCGTCGTTTTCGCAGAGAAATATCGTGTCCCATAATTTCGGGTTCATTTTTCGCGCGGCGGCACGTCGCTCGGAGAGAATATTTATTCAGAGCAGAAGAGGTGCTAGCACCGACTCGGTGGCGAATGGTCTGCATTCATGCAGCTGCCACGCTTTTCCGATGGTCAGTCTTATCGTGTTCTCAAGGGACCTTCGCGATATGGGAAACAGATTCCTGAAGAAGTTCGGCAGTGTACCTGAAACCATTCAACACGACTGATTTGCTCTTCCTTTGGATATTCAGTTTGCATGGTGTACTTTCAACGACCCGGTGGCAGATGGTCCACATTTGCGCTATAAGTATCATATCATCTTCAGACTGATTCGGTGCAGTAGAGGCGCCCGTTCGACTCGGGCTCGAGCCACTATCCAATGATCCTCCTCGTTTTTTTTCCGCCCTTGCATTCCCCAAAAATTAATGTATCCCATTCATCGGTGCTTTCATTTAGCCATATCGAGTACAAGAACGGCCCGAAACCTGCATCGTGCGCATTACCACAACTCCTACCGTCCTATTATAGATGCCCTGAAAATTTTCAACTCCTCCCAGCTTTCAACATTTATTCAGGGCAGAAGTGGTGTTAGTACCGCCTCGGTAAATATGTCGGAAAAATCAAAATAGCCCTATAATCCGAGCCAATATAAGCCCTTTTAAGGTCCTTATAAGATGATTATAAGGCATTAAAAGATTGGCTCGCCTGAAAATCGCCTTATAAGGTCCTTATAAGTACCGTATAAGGGCTCCATTTTTTTCAGTTTTTTCCGACAGTGGCGAATGGTCCGCGCCTGTCACATCTTGACAACGAGTGAGCTTCTCATGCAGGAACCGCCCGTTCGATTCGGGACTGAGTCACTTGAGGATGAAGTTTTTATTTTTATTTTTATTTTCTCAACGCTTGTGGTCTGCGACTCGCATTTATCTTCATGCACCGCCGGCAGTCGACGGCAACTCTATTTTGTAATCCGCATCCACGCCTGGGTGGCTAAAGGGCAGATGGGCACGAGTAGGAGTTGGGCTTGCGCGAGGAATGACTGGAAGAGCATTCGCAACTGTGACTTGAAAATGCATCATCTTAGATGCTGAACTTCCATGTTGGGACAAAGAAAAAGGCCAGAGACAGAAACAGAACTTGAAGAATCAGACACGAATTCCAAGAAATAGCTACAACTATCCCGTTCAGATCTAGCACAGGAGGTTACTCCCCGAGTGCACTCGAGGGTACTAGTTCATGCCGTAATAAAGATGCTTGTGATGATCCGGTGGCGGATGGTCCGTATCTGTTGCATACGAAAGCTGCTGCCTTGCTGCCTCTTGCACGCAGACGACGCCCGTTCGACTCGGGCCCGGCTCATCGAGACTCGTGCATTGTATTTTTGCACCTATTTTTTGACCAGGCTCGCATTCCCAGACATTTCGTGTCCTGGTATAGTGAACTTGGGCCTTGGTTATACAGGGTGCTTCCAAGCCAACTACCGACTCGGTGGTGGCGGACGGTCCGCATCTGCTGGCTATGTTGCCATCGGAATCCACTTACACGCGGACATCGCTCGTTCAACTCGGGCCCGAGTCATAGATATTGTTCCATTACTTTTTTCCCCTTTGTTAGCTCCCTTCTCCCAGCGCTCAAGTTTTCGTTCCTTTTTGTCATCTGGCCCGCGTATCCGTACACAATGCCTCGTTTGTGTGACTTTCTTCACTGCAGTTTCCTTGGATGTCTGCGTGGATAGCCATGTACCGACTCGGTTCGAAAGTCCGAGGTGTTAACTATTGCATGGCTCTCCCACCATTCCCCGATGCGCGTGCACCCCTCTACTCTCAGCCAGAATGAGCTTTCTGCTCTTGTTTAAATGAGTGGTGAAAGACGTGGGAAACAAGAAAACTGGAATAAAGGTAGCCCTTCGCCTCTAGCCGCTCGCTTTGAGACAACTCGGAAGATATTCCTTGAAGATTGAGGGAAATATACACCTGGCTAACGAATTGCAGTGTTTCCAAGGAAAGTCTGTGCAGCAGAAAGTATGGCTTCGCCACGTATTAATTCGTCAATGATAATATGAGTAAGTAACGACGGTGGCGACATAAATCATGGGGACATAAATCGATGAATTAATTTAATTCATCAATCTAGTTCGTTCAAGCTGGCGCCGCGAGCGGCTTTGGTTCCCATTCCGTTGATGTATTCCAGGAGCTGGTTGACTTCGGTTGACTTCGCTATCCAAAAGATCGGAGAAGGCCCGACGCCTGAAATGAATCGACAATCAGCTACGGATCGAGATACTTGGGATGACAGTGCTTACGAGGCGGCTGGTGCATCCGTTCTGTCCCGGCGAAAGCGGTGTGAGTCGCCGAGCCAAGACATAGAAAAGATGTACTCACGCAGAAGGCGGTGCGGCGGGGTCGGTGGTGTCAGTGGTGGTCGTGGTCGTGGTCGAGTCCCCAGCACCACCCAACAGCTTCTCGAGACCCGATAGCAGCACCAGAAAGAACGCCCTTACCCAACGTCTTCAGAGAAGTGAGAAGCCCGAGCATTCAATTCCAATTCGCACTTGTCTACGCCATCGATGTACTCGAGCAGCTGTTTGAATTCACTGTCCTAGAGATCGGTGAAGGAGCGGCGACTACATGAGAGAGAGAAAGGAGACATCAGGGATATGGAGAGGGGTTTTTAGGTAGAAGGCACGACGCGTACCTGAACAGCTTGCTCAGGATGACCTCGATGCCGCCTCCAACTGTGGCACCAGGTAAGAGTGAGATTGATTTAAGGATGGAACAGTAGCTTACCGGTTCCAATGACGTCGCTAAGGCCCTCGATAGGGCCGAATTGGCGTGCGCTGACGGTGGTGGGATCGGTGTCGGTGCTGGCAGTTCCCGACGAGCCTCCCCCAAGGAAGTCTCCGACAAGGCACTCGATGCCCTTGCCGAGGAATCCCTCGAGCAAGCTTGCGAGGCTGCGGGCAGCAACGCCATTACTGTGAACGTGTGTCGATATTTTTTAGAACAACGTCCGAGTAAGGGAGACACGCGTACGTGGTGGGTAGCTCCCGAGCGGCGGGGACAGGCGCAGAGAGCCCAGGCGCCGAGGCAGCGATGAGGGTCAGGGCGATGATCGTAGACGGTGTGAACATGTTTAAGGGCGCGGATTAATGGAATGGATGTTATGTGAAGGACGAAAAGAAGGGCAGGGGTAGTCGACAGGGGCTTGCCAAAGTTGCCGGTCCCTCATCCTTTTCACCTCAACGTCTTCGACTTGCACTGCTGTAACGACTCGGTGGCGAAAAGTATCGCGTCCGCTGCACTTGAACTCTAAAGCTCGAGCTTAACCAGCGGAAGGCGCCTGTTCGATTCAGGCCCGAGTCATGCCGCATGCGACCGATTCGAAGCTTTTGTTTGCACGCCAATTACACGCACTTTTTCCCCTGTCCCGCTTCATCCCGTCTATTACCTGCTCATCGGTGCTCCTGGACAACATCCATCGCAGAGGACTTCATAAATCATTCTGCGCCTACAGTCACGCACCGAATTCGGGCTCGAGTATATTTCTAGCCCGATTAATCCCCCCCTCGACATGGTACGGTGAGACAGATAGGGTTACAGACTCGGTGGCGGACGGTCCGCATCTGCTTACGGTGTGCTGCGCTAGACATAGTTTCCGTAAAGGGCGCCGTTCCACTCGGGCCAGAGTCGTGGAGGAAAAGGATCCGCACTCTTTCTTTCCAGCGCTGATCTTTCTCGATCAGACCCGCGTATTACTATTATCCCGCCGTGGACCCTCCCTCGTCGGACTTTTACTCCCATCCACGATGCCCAATGCAGACAATATTAACTTCGCGCATTCCATGACATCGTTCTGGATTATTCACGTGGAATGAAGTGCTTTCGACGACTCGGTAGCGGACGGTACGCATCTGCGGCAGATAAATACTGAAATGACAATGTCAGGAAGATCGCGCCCGTTCGACTTGGACCAAAGTCATCAACTTGTTTTGGACGTTCTGATGTTTTGCAGTTGTCGCCGCCGCTAATTCCAGTTTTTCCAGGCGGAACCTTTTCCGAAAATCCAGAAGATGGTGCCGAGTCATATCGGGTTATTCGCAATGCGACTTCTGGATCTTGAGCCCTCTACTCGTATGTGCCCTCCATGCCATGAATCCTCCTGCATTAATTGGTACTTAAATTCTCCTGCACGAATTGACTAATGCTAGTTTGCTCGCATATCCACGCTTGTACCGACTCGATGGCGGAGTGATGGATTGCTCATTTGTACGTTTCCCCCCCTGATCTTTCATATTATTTTTAACGACGGGTGTGAATCGGTGCTTTCACTGGATCCGTGAGCTGGTATGTTCGTTACTCCGCGATAATATTTGACAACATAACTGGTTTCAGACAGCTTCCGGTCAGTTGGTGCCCTCATGGCGCCCTTCATCGCTAGGTATTCCTCATCTCACCCCAGACTGAATATTACTGATCTTCCTGACGCAGAGAACTTCCGAGCCTGGACCTGATGCTGACTCGGTGGCGGCGGGTCTAGTCCCGAAGTCGCTCGTTAAACTCGAGCCCGACTCATCTGCACTCGAATGATCCTTTTTTCTTTAGATTCGTTTCGCCCTCTTTCTTCCCAAGACCAAGTTCTGCGAAGCCCCCAATATCTGAAGAACATTGACGAAATAAATCAGACTCGAGAGAGAAAAAGACAGCCACCTCCCCTGAGATATGACTCAGTCCCGAATCGAACGGGCACCCTCTGCACTCTTACATGGCTAAAGTAGGCAGAAGCGGACCATCCACCACCGAGTCGGTCTTGGAACTCCTTCTGACCTATTGTAGATATGCAAGCAAGCTGCCAGGCATGGACAAGGTCAGTGCATAATCGTGCCGGTGGGATGAAAATGCAAATACGGAGAGTCAAGGCTTCGGATCATAGCTCACTGATGTTGAGCGCGGTAGTTACCCAGACTAAGTGGTAAAATAATGTATCTTAGTGGAGCAGACCCTCCTGGTGGCGGACCATGACTCGGCCTCGAGTCGAGCGATGGTCTTCTGCGGAGTAACTATTGCACCGCTTGAATGAAGCAGATGCGGACCATCCGCCACCGAGTCGGTAAGTACTAAGTACGTACCCTGGAAGCACGCTGCATGAGTAAGATCAGCGCTGGGAACAGAGCGGAGGCAACATTTTGAGTGGTGGATGCCAGCGCGCAGGACGAAATTCGAGAACAGAGCACGAGGATTTGAAGAATATGTACCTTGCGATTGGCCGCAGTCTATCACCCCTATGGTGCACTGTGGAACTTGAGGAATCAATTCAATCAATTCCGGTCGAACGTTGAACGTTGAACCATGGAATCCATCAGCATACCTCGCAGGTTCGAACTTCGGAGTTATCGGAAATTCGGGCACAGTACATACGCTGCGGGTCATTTGACCGGCGTAAGAAAACGGATTATATTCACTGCTTGACAGGGCTTAATTGGTTTAATTTGCCCCTTACGCGTGCTCCGAGAGGGGGGGCGCTTGTCTTTTTCGTTTACAGGAGAACCCAAAAGATTTCGTAGGTGGGGATCACCATCCAGCCCCCGCGTTTTCCATGACGACCAGATCAGACAGTTGATAAGAAACTGTTGAGCTGACAAATTTCTTTGTGCTGACTGATCACCTCCGGAACTGCGATCCGAAATTTCAAAGAGATGATATAAAAGTGCTCCGCGAATTCCATGCCGGTATGGCGACTTTTCATCCCTCAGTTTCGGTCCCAGGCGTCCTCGCTTCCTTCACGGAGACCTGGTCTCAAAGACTACTCGCTTCCATCAACGGGGAATACGAGATGAAGGTCGCCAAGCTGCAAGGCGGATTTGTGTTCCACGCACACCACGATGTAAGCATGCATACAACAATAATGCTCTCAATATTGTTTTGATAGGCAATGATTCCAGACAGATGAAGTGTTTTATGTCCTTTCTGGCACAGTTATCATCGAGCTTCAAGGCGTGGACCTCGACAAGGTCGTGCTGAACAAAGGAGACGTATTCGTGGTGCCTCGGGGTGTTCAACATCGGCCGGTGGTGGAGGAGGGCATTGCTGAAGTTCTGTTCGTCGAAAAGGCGGGGGTAGTAAATACGGGAGACGCGGTTGGCGCTGAGCACCTGCTTAAAGGAGTAGAGGATGCCAGAGCATAGAGCTAGTTAGAGTTAAGTCAGCTACAAGGGCTCGGCGTCGGAGGAAGAATGCGACATAAACCCGCAGACGGATGGGGAGGATGGGCCCGCAGCGCCACATTTGAACCTTCGAGCCAGACTGCGCTCGAAAGTGTAGTATTTCTTTATGGAGAACACGCTGCTAAATAACGCACATCTTTGTCTCATTTTTTTATCCTCTCCTTTAAGGCAATCGCTCTCCCCCTTCTTTAAGGCCACCTTTGCCATAAAGAAGGAGGAAAAGAAAAACATGCTGTACCTTGTTTCGGATGATTCTAATGAGAAACCCGGTTTTCAGATGTCTTGTCAGGAAACTGGGTTTCCTCAGAAACCCCATTGATGCCGGCCATCGTGCCGGACGTGCCTAAGACCTGGTGAGGGAGGTGCAACCTGAATTTCTGTGTACCTGTGAGTTCGCGTGCTTGCCTTGGCCGTAGAAATTTGGAAGGCCCAGTCCAGGTAGCAAGTAGCTCAGTGAATAAGTTTACAATGCCGGTGATTTAAGCGTTCAAGCTGTTCAATTGTGCTGGGTAATTCTATAGTAAGCGACTCTGAAACTTACATCAGTGGACCAGGTTTTTCCTGGACCAGTAGATATGAACCAAATATATTGAACCGGAAAGCCCGAAAATTAGAAGTATGATTAGCAGTGGAAGTAAAATTGTGCTCAACTTGCCGAACAGCCAGGTGCTCCATCAAATCAGATTCATTGATATGGCCCTCCAGAAAAAATAGCATCAAGTGGGACATGTAGCACCAATCGAACAGAACAGCTCCGGGTTGAAACTCCGCTCTCGGCCTGATCTCCGAAGTGGGGTTTCTGGTTAGAATCTTGCATGGATTTCCCCAAAATTACCATAAATGGGAGGGTTTCACTGTGAAACCGGGTTTCTCAATAGAATAATCCCCTCGTTTCGAAATCAAATGGAGGGTCAATGTACCGCGTTTCTAAATGGTCAGAGCACATCAGATATATCCCTAAGTGCGATCAGAACACGATTTAGAGCAACATTACCCCATTTCTAAATGCACAGAGCACAGTGAATATAACCCTAAGCGCACTCAGAACGCGATTTAGAGCAAGAATCTTACCCTAAATAGCAGACCTCGCATTTAGGGTAAGAATCCCGCTCTAAATGCCATTTCTGGCCAGTTCCCCCGATTTCGACCGAGTATTACACAAAGTTCCCCTCTGCGTGGGGGAACGACCTTTTTTAACGCGACCGCCACGTTAAAGAAGTTCCGAAACGGGCCCAAAATAGCCATAAACCCAGGGTTCGCCAAAATCCCAGGGTCCAGCCGATTTGGGCCCGTTTCGCGCGTTTTTTGGGGGAAAGTGGGGTTTGAGCCGAAATCGGGCCTGTTCATGGACTTCTTTAAGCCGATTCGCGGCTTAGAGGCAAACCTGGGCCCAGGTTCCAGGATCAGATAGATTCCGAGTACTTATGTAAGTAAGTGATCGTCCATTTAACAAACCGATATGAGGATTTCACGACCTCTCTCAATCCTTGTTCCATTTTTCGTGCCTGGTAAAATAGTGGCTGTGTTGAAGCCTTTTTAAAAACATTCACTACGATTTTTGTGATATATTAGTGGCTGTACCCCCCCAACGAAATCTGGAGGTCGCCTGTTCGACCCCCAAAATCCGCATTTATTTTAAATCCTCTGTTTTCCCTTTCTCCGCATCTCCCATATTCATTGTCTTCTTTGTCGTTTTTATTTTTAGCCAACTCTATGGCGATACGAGGAATCCTTGACTTCTATCTAATTTTGGTATGACATCGGATATATCCTTTCCCACGTCGTCGCTTGCGGGCCTAATGGCGGACCGAAGTGGAGGTGGATAAAGCAAAGACTAGCATGACGACGAAAAGAGGAATAGAAAGGCAATGGTGATTGAGGACAGCACAGCAAGGCCCGCTTACTTGTTCAGTTTCCGCCTCAAACGTAAGCTCCAAATCGGGTAACTATTTTCGGCAGCCCGGCAAGGTCTTCTATTGCCGAAAGTTGGCCGATGTGTCACCACGATTACGTCTCCACTACCTCAGCTTTTCGCCAAGTCGAGCTGAAGATCGTTGTCCGGTTTACACGCAACAGAGAATAAAAGACTAGGCAATATATCAAGTCAATTGCACTAATTTCAAAATATATGTACGGGGCCCC